TTTAGAGAGGTTTTTGCTATAGGGCGCATCTGCTTGCCAGACAGACAGAGAGACAGAGAGATAGAAAGTGAGAAATCACCCCCCAGGAGGATGGTCACGCTGCAATCCCTTCTCCTCCATTTAAGATCTTGGGCATGCATGCACACGTGCCTGGCATGAGTTTAAGCCACCAGGACTGGGATGCAAACCGCGGTTGACTACAGGGGAGTCCAGCAACCCAGCCATTACGCCAACTGCTGGTACTGGCAGGATTTCTATATAGTTATACTTAAAGTAATCTGTTTGGTCTAAATAATAACTTAAGGTATGAAAATCCAGACCTCTGTTAATTTACTACAGATTATACATCTTGACTTATTAACTTCTTTTCTAAGATTCTGGTTGTCTTCAGAGGGAGACAAACAAGATGTACTACAACATTCTTGGAGAGATTTGCTTGACTCCACAGGAGGAACAACAGTAGCCTTCTTTGTAGGTGTGTCTCTGAAATACAAGGGATAGAGACACAATTTAAGAACACTGCATTTTAACGAAAATCAAATACTGTATACTAACTGACATTTGTCATTTTCTTCTCCATTAGTCCTAGAAATCTACCACAATTTTTGGATACAGTAAAATCCATTTTTGGAATCACTGCCAAGAACTTCTAAGTAATGTAAGAACTATGCCACAATTTTAAAGATTTTTAGAGGCATTCAGCAATGCTTGTAGCAATTGGCAAAACTAAAATATAAGACAGGGAAAAGGAGAGAAAAGGTAGCATTGAATAAAGAAACCACTTATTTCCACACTTAAATATTATATTTTCCTGCCCCGAGTAATAAGCACAAGACAAGTAAGTCCACAGTAAGTAAGTAAGTACAAGTAAGTCAGTCCACTCTGACATACTCTAGCATAACTCAGAATCACTAAACTTGAAGGCACCCATGCAACAGTTCCACCTAAAGATTTACTCAGGTCTGCAATTACATTCATGATGTTTATTTATACTACTATATTCAACTATAGAGAGAAATGTTAAAAAGCACAGCTTACTTTTCCCGCGTAACACTTCGTGTCTTTCTAGTACGTTTATGAGAGAAGGAAGAAAGGCAAATGGAAGAACAAAAAAGGTGAGCTGATCCTTTTTGTTGATAAGCTGTCTGTCCTTTCTGTAAAGGTTTTCTGCAGTTCGCACACGTGACTCTAGATGTTTTAGTAAGTTGCTGCTGGGTTGATGGCTGGAAATTTTGTTGACTAAGGAAGGCCACTGATGATAGAGAATCCACCCCTGGTTGTTTCTGATTACGGGGCAATGATACTGACTGGGAGATCCAAGAATCTTAAAAAATGAAACACATAAGAAAAAGTCAAAGTTCACATCAGAAAAACAGACTAGTGAGGAATCTGTATGAACATGTGGTAAATAAAGGCCAGACAGCCTTGATGCACAATCCCAGAGTAAATATCCACTTTGTATTCTAAGTGAATAATACTCCATTATGTGCCATCACTAAACAGTGGCCCCTGATTTGTGCAATTTAGTAGCCATTAGCTCTCAAGTCAGATGTCCCAGGTTCAAAATATATCTTGAGCTTACTAGTTTGTGCAAGAATTTTCAGGTGAGTCTTGGTTTTCTCAGCTATAAATGGGCAATGATACCTAACTCAGTGTTATGAGAAATAAATGAGAAGATGCATATAGTAAATAAAGCATTGCCTGGCACACACATGGCATATTAAAAAAAACAGTCATTTTTTCTTCCTTACCAAGCAAGTAATAATATATTTACAGAGTAAAATAAAGGAGAGGCAATACACAGATACAGTAAAAGCTCAACAATCTAAAACTCTTGAGAAATGTGACAGTTTAGTAGTTTATGTCCTATATCTATTTTCTTTTTCAAAATTTACTTTCGTTATTATTATTACCATTTTTTTTTTTTTGGAGAGGTTTTTGCTATAGGGGGCATGCGCTCACCAGACAAGACAGAGACATAGAGACAGAAAGTGAGAAATCATCTCCCAGGGGGGATGGTCACGCCACAATCCCTTCTCCTCCATTCTCTTCTCGGGATCTTGGGCACGCACGCACACGCGCCCGGCGTGAGTTTTAAGCCACCGGGTTCGGGACGCGAACCACAGTCGACTACGTGGGAGTCCAGCGACATAGCCATTACGCTAACTGCTAGTTCCCTTTTATTACCATTTTTTAATTTGACCCGAGATGGAGAGAGAGAAAGAGAAAGCAAGCTGCCAGGTCCGGGGCTGAAACCACAATCAGCCTCGGGGGAATCCACCACCTCAACCATCATGCCACCTGCTGGCCACATATGTACTATATCCATTTTCATGATAGCTTTTTCTTCCAACAGTATGAAAAATGTTAAGCACATAGAGAGAAGTTGAGGCAATTTTACACTTAACATCCACATATCCACCAAGTAGATTCAATACTATTTTGTTTTTCCTTTATATATCCTTCAATATTTATTCAACCCTTTAAACAATTCACTTTTTAAAATATTTATTTAATTTTATTATTATTATTTTTTTCTTTTTCTTTTTTTTGGAGAGGTTTTTGCTATAGAGCGCGTGCGCTCGCCAGACAGACAGAGAGACAGAAAGCGAGAAATCACCCCACAGGGGGGATGGTCGCGCCGCAATCCCGTCTCCTCCATTCTCCACTCGGGCTCTTGGGCAAGCAACACATGCACACGCGCCAGCGTGAGTTTTAAGTCACCGGGTCGGGGACTCGACCCGTGGTTGACTATGTGGGAGTCCGGCGACATAGCCATTACACCAACTGCTGGTCCCAATTTTATTATTATTTTTAACTTGACCAGAGAGAGACATACAGAAAGAGAGGGACAGTGAGAAAGCAAGCTGCCAGGTCCAGGACTTGAACGGGCATCACCCATGTGGTAGTCTAGAGCTCTAACTACTATACCACCTGCTGGCCCCAATGATTTGTTCTTTATATATTTCAAGTACATTGTACACATTAGCACATTTCCTTTCAAATTTTAAATCTAACACTTTGGGACCAGCAGTTAGCGTAATGACATGTCAATGGACTCCCATGTAGTTGACCGCGGTTCACGTCCCGGACCCGGTGGCTTAAACTCACACCGGGCACGTGCGTCTGTGGGCTCAAGGTCGCGAGAGGAGAATGGAGGAGAAGGGATTGTGGCATGGCCATCCCCACTGGGGGGGGGGGGGTGTTT